TTTGTAAATGCAGTTTTTGGCTCAGTGATTTTAGTGGAGTTTGGGAAAATCCTACTGAGTAGTAGGTCGTGGTTTTTTCACCTTTTGAGCCAGGTGTTTTCCACGTAAAAATCTCTGTGCACTTTACTTTCAGTATTTATTATTCCACAAACTGTTGTAATTAGAACACTTAGAAGAACCAGGTTCTTCTAACGCGAAAATTAGGTACCACACAAATCACCCCCCCTCTTGTGTGGTATTGACGTTTATAACATCATCAGCTCTCATTTATCGGAAACTACCTCAGGACAAGTTCGAAAGTTCGACCTGGGACCGTTGAATATAACCATATAACTTTGTACTAAGGTACTTTGACACTTGCATTAAACAACTAAAGGACAACGGATTCATGAACCATGGAAAGGAAAAAGATTTTATATATCAAAGTTTTTATTACAAGGGCTACATGGCTCGATCGAAAATTCTTTACAAAGGCCGATTGGCCTGAAAGCAAAAGCAAAGATTTCTAGATCTAAGCAACACGATCATTATCAGGGGAAGCTTCTTCACCCTTGGAGTTTTCTCCACCAGATCTGCTCACATTCTCGGAATCCTCGTCGGGAAATGCTAGTTTCCAAGCCTTTGCTTCCTCAGCCTTGGCGATCTCGAGTTCGGCAGATATGTCAAAACTTTGGGAAATGACCCCCTCGAGAGCCTCCCTTCAAGCCTGCCACCTCGAATGATCCACCATGCCTTTGGCCTGCTCGAGGGTGGCTTCGGCATTGAATTTGTTTGAGTCGCAGTAGCCTGGGCCTTAGTTTTTGCCGCGACCGCTTCAGATCTGGCAACCTCGAGCTCTTTATTCAAACTGGCTAAATTGGACTCGATCTCCTCGACCTTCTTCGCTTGAACCGAGGCATTCTCTCTTGCATATCGAAGTTGTGACTTGGCCGAATCCAGCTCTGCTTGAACGGTTTCCTTTTGTGCAGCCAAAATATCCATACATCTTGAACTGTTCGGCTTCGACTCACACTTTATCTATTTTCCCTTGGAGGCCCTTGATTTGTTCGAGCCTCTATCGAACCTGCAGAATGGGATTGTTAGTTGTTATCTCCCACTCGTCCTCACTATCATGAAGAACTCGGAATACCTGCTCGGCCATCTCAGTATGCGCATCTCGAGCCTCCACCAGGTCCACCTGAAGCTTCTCACTAAAAAGCTTGAAAGTATTGCATTTCTCAGTAAGGCCCTGGACCTCGGCCTTGCGTTCCTCTCGGATTCGAAGAAAGGCCTCATGATGAAACACTGAAGCCTACGAGAAAGGAAGAAATGTATATATCTATAAATTCAATGTCGTAAAAAGATAGTGGCCCTTGAACTTGCCCGATTCAGAGCATGCTGGGCCTCATTAAACAAGCAGGTAACTTCCACTGCATCCATTTTGTCTTGGACCTCTTCAGTGACCAAGCATCGAAGATAGCGAGCCACCCCTACGGGGGCAGAGAAAACTTGAGCATCCTCTGGGATCGAGATGATAAGAGGCCGCTTATGCTCGGGATTGATGCTGGGGGCCGGGAATTGGCTGGTCAGTTTATAGCTCGAGGAAGCCTCACCCGAGCTCTTCCTCGGTATGTCCAAGTAACCCAAACCGGTGACATCTTCCACTTTATCAAAATAGCTGCCAAAAAGTTCTTCTGCTCCGCGGACCTCTTCACCGGGGCGAACCTCCATCGCCTGAGCATCCTTGATTGTCGTATCAAGGAACGAAGGCAATAAAGAGAAATATCCAATCTCCATTGCCCCAAGAATCTTTTAGGGCTCCTCCTTCATCACAGGAAGCATCGGGTGTGGTTTATGCACCGACCTCGACCGCCTCCTCACCTCGAGGTGAGGCATTTTTGACTCTTTCCGGCTCAGGCTCATCATGTCGGGGCAAAGTAGCTTCGGCTCCTGCCTGTCTAATGGTTCTTTGAACCTCGGTGCCAGCTTGCAAACGAGGCACCAATCTAGAGTTTTCTTCTTATTCTTCGTCTTCGTCTTCGGTCTCGTCCATCATCTGTTGGATGGACTCTAGAGATACATGGATGATATTCCCCTTAGGCTTATGGGGCCTCCTGGCCGGCCTTTTCTTTTCCGAGCCTGGGTAACTGGGAGCCTCCTTTCTTTTCTTCTCTTTGCCCTGCTTCGGGGCAGATGGGGAAAAGAGTGCCTCTTCTTCAGCAGAGGGGGGACTCATTGGCACGTCCTTCCCGAGGCCTACAAAACGAAAAAGATGAGTAAGTACAATAACAAAGCCCGACTGAAAACCTTTCCAAGGAAAGAAAATTACCGTGGTTACGGGCCTCCATTGGCCCTTTGACAGCTCCATCCAAGCATGCTCGACATAAGTTTTTTGTGACACCAATCCCTCAGGTCAGTGATCACTTCCGGCACAACGGCCACATGTGCAACACAAAAAATGTAGATCAGGGGAAGTCAAGAAGTAAAACGGCAAAAATGAATATTCAAAGGCAGAGTAGTACTTACGTTTCATTTTCCACTTTTTTGGGAACGACATGTCTTCGGCAGGAATTAGATCGGAAGTCTTTATTCGGACAAATCTGCCCATCCAACCTCGGTCTCAGGTTTCATCTATGCTCGAGAACGGGGGTTTGGTGGCTCAGTGGTGGAGCTTGATCATGCCACCATGATAAAGCCGAGGGGCGTAGAGGCGCATGAGGTGATCAAGGGTAAAAGGATGCCCCTCGATCTTGCTTACAAAGAATCGAAGGAGGATCACGATCCTCTAGAATGACAGATAGATTTGACCTAGGGTGATATCGTACCTCTTGCAAAAGGCAACGATGATAGGGTCCAAGGGACTTATCGTGAAAGGGTAGGTATAGACGCTCAGATACCCCTCCACGTAAGTTGTGATGGATTCCTCGGGGCTGGGAACTACTACATCCTTGCCTACCCAGTTGCACTCCCTTTTCACCTTCTTGAGGAGACCTTTTGTAATCGTACACATGTACCTCGACATTGGTTCACATCTACCCGGTGTCGGGGGTGTATTCTCCACCTTGAAATCAGCAGCGGTGACACACTTCGTCGGAACAAATTCCCTGAGGGGATGTTCCGCCGCGGCTGCGGCGGCGACGAACTTTGATGAAGAAGCATTTTCCTTATGCGGGACGGTTTTTGAAGTTTTAGACATTCTTATATGTAGAGAAAAATGAAACGGGAGAGGAGGAACACTTAGCGTTTTGCAATAAAATGAGTAAAGAAATCCCAGGAAGTAGAAACACAAAGATCTGAGGAAGGTGAAGAATTGAGAAAGTTAGAAAGAGAAAGAGTTGAAGGTAAAGTTTGAAGGATGAAGAAAGATGCATTTATAGGTTGAAGACGACGGTTCAGTGACGGTGGTGGCCGACCATCAGCTGACAAGCATTAAATGCCTAGAGAACTGTACCGACGGGACGTTTAGGTCACCTCTGTCGCTTACGTCACGGTGATGATGTCATGACAAATCAGGGTAATGATCGAGGACTCAATTCATTTCTTGTCACTATACTCCAAAAAATGAAGGTACTATCTGTATACGGTTAAAACTGGGCCTACCCGATTTTACTGATTAATCGAGACCACGAGGATGGATCGAGGATTGGCCCCATAGTATATCAGACCGAGACATGAGGATAAGGTACTGACTTCGGGATTCAAAGTACCTGTCAAGACCGAGATCGGAAATGATCGAGACCAAGCGGGATAGACATCGAGCAAGACCGAGGATAGCATAGTAACGGAAAGGCAAGATAACTGCGACTGGTCGAGAATCATGGCGGAAATCCCGGAACGGATCAAATCAAGTACGGTTGTTTAGTTGATCATGGGATTTCCTTCTGTAATTAGAATTGTACCATAAGAGAAATTCCTCTACTATATAAAGGGGGATTCTAATCATTTGTAACCATCTCATTCTCGCATATCAAAGCAATACAATACTCTTTTTCTCTTATACTCGCTTGTTCATCAGTTTATTTCATAACTCTATTCTCACTCACTCGGTACAAGGGCGACCTAGCTCGAGGGCTAAATTGCATTTCAATACTAGTTTGCTTTACTTTGCTGTCATTTCAATACTGGTTTGCTTTACTTTGCTGTTAATTTCTACTATTAATTATCATATTTATTAACTGATGCTAAGTGAAATTATGTATCCTTAAAACAACCTATAAGTTTAATTGTTATTCGATTTTAAGGGTAAACAGTACCGAAACTAAGTTGTTACCACGAAACTGTTACTAGTATCTTTTCCCCCTGTTATTTAGGACTCCCTCTCTGCCCTCTTTATGAGGAGGTAAACTCCTTTCAATTCCACAAGAATAACCAAAAAGAATTCCCTTTTCTAACATTTTTCATGTTGTAGGTAAGAAAGTAAAGGAATTCGACTCTTCTTCAGTATCATTCGCTAGCTCAATTTTTCTTTCAATATTTGTCCTTTTAAGGTGTGCACACAGCACATGTTTCACTTTGAATTTCAGTTATCTCTAACGCCATTAGGACATTGGGCCTTGATGAATATAAGTTCATGTTGAAGTTTGTTAAGCTTTTAGATGAGATGATCACACACTTCTACATGGGCAGAGGTTTTCGAGTCTCACCGCCACCCAATATTAAAAATATTTCCACTTGCTTGGCTCATCGAAAAATAATCAAACCCGCATGTGAGGGGTAAGTCCTCTCTAAGAGTTTAAGTTTTTAGATGAGATAATCATATAGTTCAACGGTTTACTCTCACTTTTTTTTTTTTTGCTTAATTAGCAAATCCTTGTGTCACAAGAAAAAGAAAAAAAAAACTAAAATGCTAATGGGTTCGGTTTCTTCTTAATCCTTCTGATTTTTCCGCTAGAATTTGGGTGGAAGTGCAACTTTCGAAAAATTGAACACCTAATGTGGCTGCAATCAATAATATATACAGGTTAAATACAAAAAATTGCGATAGATAGAGTGTAATAAGGAAGAAGACATGGACCGGAAGCTGCATCAAGAAAATGGATTAACTATATTTAAAATGGTATTCCAAATCCAGAATATAATAAGAAGAAACTCATGTGCATTAATTCCAAGAAATCAGAGCTGAATCCTGCCACGGATCCAATTACATAAACTTTTAATAGAGATGGTTAATGAGCGCTAACGCATTGCTAGCAAGTTTGGTAATATTTGCCATGCAACTATTTACTATTTTCTTCACAGCTGGATTTACCTTTCGACCGGAGAAACCTTCGGTGCATGAATCTGCGTCTGTTATTACAGCACTTGCATATGTCTTGGCATTAGCCAACTGAAATTCTTTATCTTTATCACTCAAATGTCCCATTGCGTCAACAGCCAGTTTGAGTTCGTACACTGCATCCTTGACATCTTCAAAACAGTCTTTGATAGCGGCGGCTTCAATTTTGGTTATACCCTTCTTCTTTTTCAGTTCCGAGACAGCTACAGTGGCGCTGCGAGCGCCACTAATGGCTACGTTAAGGGCTGCTTTGCATAGCCTTGTGGAATTGATTTTCACTGAAGAAGCGTAGGGAATTAGTGTTTTCTGGCAGAGTGAAGGGTATGTGGTGATGTTGCATTTGGTTTTGACGAAGTTTGTGTAGGTTGGCCGAGAGACTCTGGCAGCTGTTGCTGCAGGCGAAGTTAGCGAAATGAATAACACAATTGCCAAAAGGGGAAACTTCAAGCTTTTGCAAGTAGAGTACACCTCCATCCCTCCTGCTAATTGTGTTTGAGAAATGTTTTGAATTATGTGTTGGGAATAGAGGGAAGATGTTAATATATTTATAGAGATCAAAATTGGCAGGAGGGAGGATTTTATTTAATTGTTCAATTCTGATCATGATTAGGATACGAGAATAAAATTGCTGTAAGCTGCACAAAAATGAGTTGTAAATGTGGGATATCAGATTATCTCGCCATCACAAACGGTAGCAGTCACACAATGTCACATGGAAATCATTTAAAGCATCGAAAGTTTGTAAGCAAAGTCAACGTAACTTATCAAGGGGTAAGCAGATATGCCTAATTTACCTGATTATGTATATTCACCTAGCCTATATTGAACTATAATATTGCACCAGTAGATCATTTTTTTCTAGGGAATTAGACTATTAGACGTGACTTCTTGAGTAGACAGGGCTTGAGCTAGCTCAGAGGTGGAACAAGATTCCAACGTTATTTGTTCCAAAATTTTAGAATGCCAACTTCCAAGTGCTAATAACTGAATTCAAATATTTGTTCATATTTAGTGAAATTTTTAACACAAATACACTATTTGAGCAAAAGTTACCTGCCTGAATTCGGCGTCCAAGCTCCGCCCCTTCTTCAGCTACAACCAAGGAAGAGTCAAGAGTGGGCAGCTGAACATTCTTTGGTGAAACATTATATTGCGTGATAGATCAAATATTAGTTACTACTATATATATAAAATCTTAAAGCAAAATTCTTAACTTCGCCAATATGAGTAGAGCCTCATGATATTCAACTTGTGGAATGGACTGTAAGACTGCGTGAACGTGGCCAGAAAATGAAGAGAATGACAGCTCAAAACACTGCGGAAGAGATGGCGATTTAATTATATGAACAGAAGTTACCTGAAAACAGAGAGACGGAAAACCTTTTGTTATGAACTTCAATTGATTGTGCCTTAGAAAATACGTCTTGTTGTAACTCCAAAGCTTACGGTTTTTGAAATTAGCTAGTTTGCGTGGGTTTCTGAATGTCATAGTGATTCAAAAATTTTATTTTATTCAACTAACTCTCGGAGCATACACATCGGGTAAGTTTTTTTTTCCCATCTGTTCATGTAGTCAAAGGAATTTCTTCTCGGTACAACTTGGAATATTAATACTTTAGGTACATTAGTTGTCCTGAGAGTCCGGAACCTAAATATTAATTTTTTGGATTCAAAGTACAATAATAAGTGTAAAAAAAAAAAATACCTTTCTATATATAGCGTCCAAATACAAGACGCTATACATATAGTGTCCCAAAAAAAACGCTATACCCTGATTATGGACCCACCAATAAGTTAANACAAGACGCTATACCTTAACGGTAACTTTTGCCGTTAAGGTATAGCGTCTTGTATTTGGACGCTATGTAGCCTGACGATTGGACTGACATATATAGCGTCCTTAATTTATACGCTATACATATAGTGTCCCAAAAAAAACGCTATACCCTGATTATGGACCCACCAATAAGTTAACTGACATAACAATAATTTAAATGTGTATAGCGTATATTTAAAGAACGCTATATGTCAAAAAATTTCCATATCCCGGGCTAGCCATTTCCTATATAAAGTGGGTTAGGATTTTAGGAAAATTCGTTTACAAAAAATTCTAACTCCCGTTCAATTTTTTCTTGTTGTTAAATTCTTAAGCATTTTTTTCGTAATGTCTGAAGAGCGTAGAATAAGAGTTTCATTATATTGGAGGGATGAGGTTGTGATGGAGAATAACTCTGTGAGGTATAGTTTATCTCCACAGGTCATGTTAAATTACCACTTACAATGGAGTACGATAAATTGATATCATTGTTATGCAAAAAAATGGGTGTGAGGAAACGTTCAGTGATACTTAAAGTAACCGGAAGATATCCGTATTCCGTCACTCCTCAAGGGGCTGCTTTTTACTCGGAGTTAAACATCTACGATGATGAAACTTTGAGGGATTTTCTGAGGACTCCGGATGAATACCGGAAATATCTTGTAATCAAAATGTTGGATATGTACGTCAAGGTCGAAGACGTTCCAAACAATGAGGTTGCCAGACAGGTTCCGGATAACCCCCAGTCATCGGGTGGTTATTCTGGAGGAGTTTTTGCAGGACAGGTTCCAAATGAAAGAGTTTTCCTTGATTTAAACTTATCCTCGCCTGCTTTACATAATTCACAAGACGAGTGGTAAGCTTCAATTTTCCTTTGTTTTTTGTTGTATTGAATTTGTATTAACGCTCATATATTTAACAGAGGGTACAGGCCGGATATGAATTTTACATATTATGAACCCAAACATAGTTTTGGTGTGTTGGATCATGGTGGTCCATCCGGGAGCCATCACCTAAATGAAAATGTCCATCATGGATTTTCATCACATTACGACTTGTAAGTGAAGTGATATAGCTATATGCAAAGTATTTATTAAATTCAGTATCTTATTATTTTGTTGATTGCGCAGTGAAAACGAGCAAGTTGAACCAAATATACTTACTCAATTGCCCGAAGACGACGTATTAAATCAGGATCTGGCAGATGCACAGAGTGAGGAAGAGAACAGTGATTATGACAACAATGCTGATGAATCTGGAGATGAGACACCCTTTCCTCGTGAGGATGGTGATGAGGAAGATGAGAAGGAAGGACCTGATTTGACGAGAGAGTATGCTCCACCCCCCCTAGACGAATAGTGTACGAGTCTCAAGTGCCATTTCATTCAACGGAGATTCCTTACGTTGATAACTTGCCAAGCATGCCGGATGTGGAAGCTCTCTCAAGGGATTTTGATGAAATTCGGACAGCAATGTGGGATGAGTCTAGACCAACGGTGCTGGCAAAGGGCATGCTTTTTCCTGATAAAGCGCGCCTAAGAAGGGCTTGTAAAATGCACAACGTAAAAGAGTATCGTGAGATGACGGTATGGGAGTCAAGTCCGGTTGTATACAAGGTTGTTTGTCGCAGGTGGTTTTGGCCATGTCATTGGATGTTGCGTGTGAGCAAGAAGAAGACAGGTCTCTGAAAAGTGGGTAAATACATTCCCACCCACACATGCGAAATGGACACATTCAACAGGAATCACTTTAACTTGAATATTGACTTGATTTCTCTTGTTCTTATTCCACACATCGAAGCGTCCATAAGGTATAAATTAAGGACGCTATATATAGAAAGATATTTTTTTTACACTTATTATTGTATTTTGAGTTGAAAAAAATAATATTTAGGTTCCGGACTCGTTGTCCTGATTACTAAATATATCTAGTCCAAAATAGTTGTCACTTTTAAATATCCAAGGTATATTTAATTACTCCATATGTTTCAATTTATGCATTTCCTTTTTAATATGTACCAAAAAGAATGACAATTTTACATAGTTGGAAACAGTTTACTTTTATGCAATGATTTATAACTACACAAAATATGTGTCCCTCATTCTACACCACAAATTTAAAAGTCTTTTTTTTTTTCCTAAAACTCTATGCCAAATAAATTGAAACGGAGGGAATACCTTTTTTCTATTTTGCCCTTAGTATTAAATGTTCATCAAAGTAAAAACTCTTGGATTACATAACATAAGAAACTTAGAAGTGAAGAGTAATAAAAAAGGGTATAGTAGTCATAAAACCTCTTATTAATAATTTCTTAAGGAACATGTAAAAGAGAAACATGACAACTAAAATGGACGGGAGGGAGTATTGATTTGGAATTAAGAAGTCATTTATTTTATTTTAATTATGGAACAACCTCTTTTCTTATTAATAATTCTATAGATAAGTTCCCTAGCTTTCTTAATTTTCCGTATTTCCGTATACAAATTTTGATTATTTGAGCAACGAGATGCTATAGCTTAATGGGCATTCTTGTTCCCTACAAAAAAAGAGCTAAACAATACACAACAATGAAAAACAGCCTTGTTCTGGAGACAGTAAAAAAAAAAGTAAATACAGTATGAATGGTTGTGGTCTGTCGAGATGCAAATTCTTGAAGCTAAGTGAGCAGATTACTTTACTTTGCTGGAAGGAAAAGGTTTACCTCTATCTAAACTTTTAGACGATGCAGTAATCCTAAATAATCTACAATATATTACTATAAACAGGAAACGTTTAATGAAAAGTCAGATTTTTATTTTACCCTCCACTTAATAAATTACTACGAAATTGCCACCTTCTCTTACAAAGATTAACGATCATATTCCCAACAATTGCATCCGTTGATTTGTTGTCTTTTAAAGCAGAACCTTATGGCAATTTCCTCATAGTATTTGCTCTTCTCTACTAAAGCAACAGGTATAGAATCTGAATTTTCCTCCACGAAATCCTTATGTTTTTCAATTAGTATTCTCCTTTTGGTTCGGAAGTAAGTTTAAGTCAATTCAATATTTTGTTCCACGATGGTGACTGTCCAGGTTTGAAAACCACATAAATTTGTTGGTGAAATCCTTTTTTTGTTGTGTGTGTGAGTTTGAGAACCATGACCTGTTATGTGTTTTTCCTTTTATCTTCAACTGTATTATTATTTTAAAAAGACAGGATCGTTATGTTGTTAGTTGCTAGATTTGCAGACACACCGAATAAAGATATGATGGTGGATATACTTTTGTAAGAAATTAATCATCACCGGGTATTCAAATTTGAATGTAGTATTTGATTGTTTGCATATCCTCCGTTGTGCTACCATAATGTCACGACCCAAAATCCACTAGGGGTCGTGATGGCGTCGGACACCATTGTCAGGAAGCCAACAACAAATAACTAGTAACTCCTCGTTTTAAAAATTTCTGAAATCACGTCTCTTCTACGTTTAAACAATACGTAATAAATTCCACGGAATAAGTAATGAAACATTTAACAAATTTTGGACTTTTCTGAATAAACCCATGTACATCCCCAGAACTCGGTGCCACAAGTGCATGAGCTATTTCTAAGAAACATTACAATACAACATCCGTCCGGAATACAATTTGGACAGAAAGTAAATACAATACACTGAAAGGGACTATACTAGCCGCGGGTCGCCTCGAGTAATGCAGCTCACCTAGTCCCAGTATCACCCATG